TTCTATCTTCAATCTATGATTAGGGGGGCTATTGAATCCTTCCATATGTAGTCTTAGGCTCTGTTTGCCGACCTTTCAATGACAAAAGTGCACCCAGCTGCTTCAGACATTGTCTAAGCATATGCATATAAAAATAGGGTAGTGTGGTGGAATATGCGTATCCATCATTCTTGACTTTTTGATTCACCTCGAACTCAATGAATCAGTGCTACTTTTGTTCCATCTATTACCTTTCCAATGCAACAGCATTGTCGGAATGAAGCTTGCACCCATGATCAACGCAGTGACGATACCAGAGCTTTTAGCAATCCCAACGCTATCGAACATAGATGTGAACCTAGAATAACCATCAGCATTATAGCTTTCAAAAATTAAAAATCGGGTCAATTTACCAGAAAGGTCCAATGAATCCCCATGTCGAGCGTACAAAGTTAATGAACACTCCAACACTACCTGCATCCTGCGGATACATATCTACCGCATAGGTAGTGAGCACAGTGGTGACAACCTGGTTACCGAAAGCAGCAACGCCAGTCCCAACCACTGGTCTAACATCCAATTTTCCAGCAGTAGCTTGCTCAGTGCATACCAAGAAAACAACCATACCAGCGATACTCAGCAAGAAACCAATATAGCTCAGCCAGAGTCGGAACTCTGGTGCAGGCTTACGGCCAATTTTCCGCGCACGGGTATTCATCCACATATCTGACATGAACCCGCCCAACTGTTCACCCAATAGAGAGCCGATAATCAATCCAAGGAACAGCAAACCGAGTTGTTGCGCGTTGAGTTCGAACTTTCTTTGCAGCAGCTGAGGAACCTCGACCGAGTTCATGACTGAGGCGAAGAGGAAGACCATGGAGTAGGCAATGGTGACAAACACAACCGGGATGTTCGTAATCAGGGTCAGGGGGTGCCAGAACTCGGACAACTTAAACGGGGTTGAATCTATCCGCCGAAGGGACAGGTACTCTGTCTTGAACGCAGACGACGGGGAGTGCGCGTCGACACCGATGTAACGGGTCTCGGGCCCGAAGAAAATGTAGAGGATGAACTCGACAGCATTGGTCTGGAGATACGATCAGTCATGGGATTTCAGCTTTCCTAGCTGAATACTCACAATGGCCAAGATCCAGTAAATCCAGCGGTATCCAACACGCTGAGTCACAAATCCGAAAATGAAAGGACCAACTGGCACACCCAAGGTCACCATGAGAGTCCAAACACCCATGTAACGCGCTCTCTCGTGTCTGAAGAATGTTTCGGTGACAACAACACTACCAATAGCCATGGCAGGTGAGACAAAGAATGAAACTAGAGCTCGGCATGCCGCCATGGAAGCGTAATCTGTGCTCTTTGCACAGCCAATATTACAAACACAACTCAGTATCAGCGACAGTAGGAAAACTGGGCGCCTTCCAAATCGGTGAGAGAGCGGTTTCCAGAATAACGGGGCACCTCCCAGAATTGCGATCTGTAGAGAGGTTAAGTAGCTGACTCGTTGGATAGAGACTCCTAGATCTTCCGCAATATCTTCATAGGCACAGATAATGGCTGCCGCGGTAAATGTACCCATGCAAGCATGGAACGCGACAAGCCCCAAGTTGGTTGATTTCTGTGGTGCTATCAGCTTGAAATTCGGAAAACTGCGCCATTCCCACCAACCTTCCATGATGGCCAGTTGTATGGGTCCGCTGGATCCATACTAGGAATCGGATCAAGGTCCACGGTGCCATGTCGTTCAATCAAGTATGATTTGTGCGACTCCGAAAGAAGTGCGGGCGAGTCAGAGAGCTTGGTGCCGATCTCATTCTCCGTTGCGTAATCCAAGCCTTCTTTTTGATGGGAGGCCATGGCGCAGAATATTATATTATACACCGGGGTAAGATAAAATGCCGCGTTATAATCACATAAAAACAGCGGAAACTGTCAGTCAAAAGGGGCCCATTTAACCCCGCAACCTGGGAGGATTCGTAATCGGTTGTTAATCGGTAGTCCGGGGTAGCAATGGACTGTAAAGTCAACAACCGTCTTCAGTGGACCTCCGTGATCCATTGCCTCCATTCTGACGTCCGATGATGGCTTCGTCGGTAGTTAAAGAGATAGTGCATTTGCCAGAAAATACGTGTATCCAGTGGTATTTGGGGGTCTCGGTGTTACAGAAGTTGAAACATTTAACTAGTGTATCAACTAGTCCAATACCGGGGACGAACCGAAATATAACAAGCTCGCCGAGGTCTGTCTAGAATACTGGGCCTAAGTACCTCACTGCTAATATAATCCTCCTCGTTGTGATGTTCGGTGAGATTTTAGCATAATTTGTCTACGCAAGCCGGCTAAACAGATCGCCGGGGAAACAAACGTACCTAATCCACCAAGTAGACCTTCAACTGTGGTTTCGATATCACGTCTGGGATTTGAACACTGGAATGATGGTTGAAAGGCCGTAGGAGTAATAATCCCGAGCGCTGTTGTTCACAAGCATGCTTTCATCTCTAAATCTACATATCCTTTTCATTTTCTTTATTTATAGGGCCCCACCTTCGCATGCAGATCCCCCTGGCTCTCGTTCTCGGCCAATCCAACAAATTCGTGTTTGAAACGCTCATTCAATTCCATGGCTCGTTCATAGTATTCTGGCCGGACCATGCCCCCTAAGGGAATAAGCCCCACGTCTTGGAGTTGACGAACAATGTCTGAAATTCCCGCCAGGAAATTCATTTCGTCTCCATGTAATTTTAGCCTGTTCAGATATGTCAAAGCACTTCAAACTCACGTTGGCCGACAACGAAACATAAACCCTCCAATGCCGAAAGCTTTTTACATATTTTTGAACAGTGAAAATTTATTTCTATTGTCCAAGTTCATACAAAACACTTCTTCCAAACGATATCATTTCCGACTATGCCCAAGCTAACACCCATCTCATTATGCTACTCAGAGCATGAATAGCTAGTGAAGGGCTTCTTCGTTGTCGGACACTTTCGACTCGCCGGGCAACCGATAACTCATGCTGATTTGCAAGATCCGCAGGAGTATACCCATCATTATCAATGGATGTTGCATCAGCGCCGGCTCTCAATAGCAGCTCCACAGCCTGCATGTTTCCATCGGCCGCCGCCCAGTGTAGAGGTGTCCGTCCAGAGATGTCCCCCTTTGTGAAATCTGCCCCGTTCATGACAAGCAGCTCAATTATGTCAATCTTTTGAGTTTGCATTGCCCAGTGTAACACGGAATAGGCGCCCATCGTGATAGACGAGATATCAGCACCATTTTCAAGCAAAAGTCGGACAATCGAGGTATTTCCCTTAACAATGGCCGAATGCAATGCTGCCATGCCGTTTTTTGCCAGAATATTGGGACTCAGGCCGGCGTCTAGTAACAAAGATGCCGTATTGTATTGGTCACTTTCACAAGCATAGTGGAGAGCGGTATATCCCCGGCTGTTTTGAATAGAGAAATCAAAGCTTTTGGTGAGCAGTGATTCGATAATATCTTCCCATCCATTGGCAGAAGCTATGTGAAACATGGTATCTCCTGCCTCATCCTTGGCTGTAATCCAATATTTCGGTTTGTAGGAGCGATCCATGCCCGGAATGGCTCGAGCCAGGTGTATCAAGTCTAACGGCCCAAGCAGCCGAGCTATGAGGAGCAGGATCTCTGCTGGGAGAATAGGGTTTGGGGTTTGCATCATCAACTCGAACAAATCGATCGATTGAAGAATTAAATTGAATCGGGATGTACTTGACAATTTAAATTGGGTTAATTTACACTGCGCTTTAGAATCGCCTTTCTCCAAATTGGAGAAACCCGGGCTTACTGAAGTTCTGTTACAAACTGCCCCTGGACTGGCGAGTTACAAACTAGGCCAAAAAGACCATTATATCTGAGCGTTATGCTCAGATAGACCAGGCTCCGATATATATAGTGCGTAATATGACAAGTTCCCTTGATAGCTCCATCTGCCAACAGCACCCGAGTCAGGCAAATCCAGTCACTGTGGCATACCATACATTGTCATATTGCCAGATATTTGCCAGAATCAACAAAGCCTCTAGGTAGAATCTACCTAGGAGAAATATGGCACAGCACAAGGCATCCATGGAAACACAGCACATTGCTATTGCAAAGCCACCTAAATATGCCCAGATGTCCTTCGTTTGTATCAAATTTTCTACCGTACGGCTGTTTATACTGATTGTTCCACAGTTTATTTGCTGCCCGGTCTTCTGATACAATGCCTTTAACGCCCTCCGATCTTCTTCGTCGCAATTCAGTCGTATATCTTTCGGGCCCAGATCGTACATGGAGCCCTCAAATCTCATACATCGGTCTTCAAGGCCGACACAATGTCCATTTTATTTTTCAAATGGCATCACATATCTATCCCACTCCCGAGTGGTCCTAAACCCAAAGTGGTGGAGGCGCGGAATACCTTTCTCAATCGTGACGAAATAATCATACCGCGGACGTGGATAATCATGGTGAAGCTTCCAGTGCCCGTTGCGTTGCAAGTCGGATCTAGCTATAGGACAGCGGAATAATTCGGGCTCGTTGTCATTCATTACGATATGAAACAAGATAGGGCAGTCGTCGAGATAAAGCTTCTAAAGCATGGAGTGAGAGTTGATCCAGTCCAGCTGCTTGTCTTCGTATAAAGAGAAATTAGGGAGAGTAAGTGACTTTAAATTAGGGAAGTGAACTCCGTCCAGCTTAGCGTGAGGATAGAAGCCCCAGTGAATGCTGGGGTACAGGGGAAAGCTTTCGGAGCGACCCCATGGCGGGCTTGAGCCAGTATGCTGACAGTGTGTATGTAAAAAACTGATTTGGCTCGTATATCTGTCAGACGTAGTCAAATTAGTATTTGTAAGTAACTACAAGGTTAGCGTAAACGGTAATAAGCAATGACGCACGTGGATCCCATGTTCGGGGGAGGCATCATCCCTTTCATGCACAACATGAAGTCTTAAAGACATCAACGTGCTCAGCACTTGGCCCATCTAATTCAAAATCTTTCCCGGAGGTGGAGCTGTTTTCTGATGATTCTGGATCGCGAGTTCTTTCAACGGTCGCTGCAAAGACCCTAATCCTGCAAAGAACCATTTCAAAACAATAGCCTGGTATAGCTCTGTCTGGGGTTTGTCGTCATGAGTGGGATATACGGCACAGTGCTTATCGAAGCGCAGAGCAACGTTTTCCAGATGTGGAAGTTCTGATAACATCGGTAACAGCTTTCGCCATTGTCGGGGTGGGTTGATTTCTCCTTCGAAGTCGAATCCCATTGAGTTGCAACTCAGCCAGATATTACAGAAATGGATCTCGGCAAACGTCACTTTACGCTTGTCAAGTGGTCATATCTCACTTACATAGTCGCGACCCACGGTGTTAAGATAGAGCTTGCGCACGTGTTCATTCACCCGTGGGTGGGGTATGATAGACTTAAAAGCTTCACAACTTTTTTCTCCATGAAATAATGCGGAATATGTAGCTACTTGCGGAATCGCGTAGTGTCCGGTTTGTTAGCCTTCTGAGGGCCTTGGAGAGTTTCTGAATCTAACAGAGACCCAATCATGGCAAGGGGGAGAGACCAATGCTGCCATTTTCTGTTTGCCCTAGGTTGTAGTGTAGTTGGCCACTGGCTATGAAGTACGAGGGAAGACGATGAGCTAAAATAGTAAATCTGTTGTTGGCATTTTCCAAGGCATCCGTAGGGAGAAGTGGTTGAGGTTGAGAGACTTGGCGCTAGTGCCAGAGCCCAGAAGCGAGAAGCGATTCTATAATCTTCACCTATGAAATTGTACGGGAAAATAAAGAATGGAAAGCTCTGGGTAAGCTGTAGAGACACTAGAGATGTGCTATAACGTATTTCACTACCGAGCCGCCCACACCACCGAGCCGCCCACCCAAAAACACATAGTAAATGCGATAAATTACAGCTTGATACCTCAACAACAGCAGTTTATATAGAGATTTCGTTATAGGCTAATACTTTTTAGGTATTTTCTAGCTTCTCTAGGGAGTTTTGGAAATATATATAACTTCGTGATTGCGATATACATATTCCTGGCTTTCAGCACTAATTTTCAATACTATTATAATGCACCTCTTCGATTTTCTTAAGATTGATATATAGTATTTAAAATTCTTATCGATAGCTATCGATATGCAACGAAATCAAACAAAAAACGCGGATATTAAGATATAAGGTTATAGAATATCGCGTTTACTATGTGTTTTTGGGGTGGGCGGCTCGGTGGTGTGAGCGGCTCGGTAGTGAAATACGTTATATATCTACAAAGAACTAGTATCGTTCTGACAGTTCGAGCACCAGTTCACACTAATATATAAAATATTTAAGCAGCTTCCAAAAATAGAGTAGTCTAACAGCAGGGATGTATAATACAGGGCAGACCTGGTAGATTTCATACCTCGATTCCCTCCCGTAGTCCGAATACTTCCTTAATATATGGAGGACATGGATGTAGCAAATATATTGCCTGTTGTCTCTTATCTCCAGCCTATCACCCGGAATAGCAATAATATAAGGGCAACAAATACCCCTAAATCGGGGTCTATCTCGTCATCTCGAAAGTAATACAAATCAGAATTATTACTGCTGTGCTTATCTGCGCTGACGAAAACGTGTCCATTAACATTTACTGAACCTTTGGTAGGTACCTAGGTAACCCCAAACTGAAACTCAGTCGTCCTATCAGAAACTCGCCTGAGTCCGCGACATCGGGGTTTCCCCGAAAAAGCCCCGATTTTATTGTTCGGCTAGGCCAATTGTGATCAATCTATAACAACTAAAGAAGGTTTATCTTTGACTTTCTCCGCCACCTCCTGCCGTTTTGCCTCGTATCTCCCTCGGCTTTAGAATATATTCCCTTCCTCCAGGTTGACCCCCCGGAGGCTCTTTTCGCTTCTACATGTCCTTCCCCTGGCGACCCTGTTCTGGCGCCATGTCTGTTTTATAATTGCGCAATACCGCTGCTTCCACCAGCGATGTCCTCATGTCGCTTGCCGACATCCCCGGCAGCAATTTCAGCATCGCTGATCGCTCCGTCCAGGACCGATTTGCGGAGCATACTGCAGTTTCCTGCCTCATCGCCATTGCCTGGTACAATGCCCTGGAATTGATCGTTCTGTGCTTCACCACATTTAAGCGATATGGCGGGTGCTATTTTTGGTGTCTCCTCATCGCCTCCTTCAGCATCATCCCTTTTGGTCTCGGATATCTCCTTATCATCTTCGACATATACAGCAACATGTTCCCCGTGACGATGGAGCTAGTTGCGTGGGTCGGGATGGTAACGGGCCAATCCCTGGTTCTCTGGTCTCGATTGCATCTTGTCTGTCACAGCCCAACCGTCCTCCGCGCCACCCTCGCCATGATCATCGTCGATGCGATAATCCTACACATCCCCGCCTCCGTCCTCGAGCTCGGCAGCCATTCGCAAAAATCCTCCCTCTTCACCCACGGGTTCAACATCTTCGAGCGTATCCAATTGGTCGGATTCTCCTTACAAGAAATTATCCTCTCCATCGTCTATTCCTGGGAAGCTGTGCGACTACTTAATCTCCGCCCACGTGGCCACTACCGAGGCACCCTGGTCCAACTGCTGATCGTGAACGTAGTCATGATTATGATGGACGCCGCCATTATCGGAGTACAGTACTCGGGCTTCTTTGATATCCATGTCACCCTCAAGGCAATGGTCTACAGCGTCAAGCTCAAGCTGGAGTATGCGATCCTAGGAAAATTGGTCCATATCACCGAGGTGAACGGCAGCAGCTCGGCCCACACCGACCTATCGGATTTCGTGGATCTTTCTTTACATAATGCTCGAACTACGCAAGCGGATAGCGACGTGTTCACAGAGAATCCAGAGTACGGCCCGCACATCCGTCGTATGCGAGCTCCCTCCAAGGGCTCGTCCACTGACCCGCTAAGAAGGAGTCTCTCCGCCGCCCCGAGTCCGAGTTATTTAAACTCGGACTACCCATGATGATTCCACATGTAAATAACGATCTTCGATGATTTTGTACATAAAACTACTCAGTATATAATGCACGACATACACGATTATCTATCTCACCAGTCGGGTGTTAAAATGTCTCACCTATAATGAGGGGAAAGTAGTACCCCCCCCTCACCCCTCACCCCTCACCTCGCATCGTCGGATACCGCCGCGAACATCGAGATATCAAATCGAGCGCGATCCCCAAACCCACCGAACCCACTCAGATATCCTCACCCATCGACCCACCTATACCCAAATCCACAATCTAAACCATACCTGGCAATGACCACTCCCAACCCAACCTCTCTAACCCCCCTAACAAAACCCCAACTGACCGCGGCATCCCGCGCAGCCCTCGACCACCAAATACAAGCACAAGACATACACAAAAAGCGACCCTTCGCGGCAATCCTCCTAGCCCCAGACAACGAAACAATCCTGCTTTCCTCGAACTCTCTCTCGCACGTGCGACACGCAGAAAGCGAGCTCGCGCGCAACGCAGCAGATAACTACGACTGGGCATACCTAGCGCGCTGCACGTTGGTGTCGACCTGGGAACCATGTGCGATGTGCGCAGGCGCCATCTACTGGGCGCATATTGGACGGTTGGTGTATCTGGCGTCGGAGGCGGCGTTGCGGGAGGTTGTTGGTGTTGGGAATTTGGAGAATTTAACATTGGATTTGCCTTGCCGGCGAGTTTTTGAGAAGGGGCAGAGTGTGGTTGAGGTTATTGGGCCGTTGGTCGAGGAGGGGTGGGAAGGGAGGGTTGTGGAGGATAGTAGGCGGTATTGGGGAGGGAGGGGTTAGATATTAGTCTTGGTTAGGTATAGCTGGTGTGCTGCCCATTTGTTTGCCCAGGTGTTCAGGTGGTGTTCAGGTGCAGCATTTAAAGACCTGTTGACATATGCATGGTAGTAGGTCTTGGACTGCGCTGTGCCTTGGAGCAAGCTAGGGGTTAGTGGTCATTTCATGGGGCTCGAAGGGTGTGTTGTTGGTTGGATAATGTATGTCTTGTAGCCTAGTGCTGGTATTGGTATTGGCGGATGATAGCATGATAATCACCTACAGGTATATGATGAGAGCGCCACATACTTCATAAATCCACTGCGTTGAAAGCTTCTGGTAAAGTCAATTTCCTAAGAACCATATCAAAAAAGCGCCCGAGCACTTTTTCCAGACGCAGGACGAGTTGAATGGCCGAAAAAAGAGATACCTTAGACTTTCCTTTTCTGGAGTCGCGTACGGAGTAAAAACGCTAATATTAGTGCGTTCCAAGAGAATAGTGGCCGACGATCATGTTCTAGGAGAGGGCTTCCACTGAGATATGATTTGGAATCATAGGCGTTCGTTGTGTTTCATGTGATCGGCCAGTTACTTGCACATGTAATGTACATCTGTGAACCACAACTCGATCAAACTATGTTGTACACGGACTCAAGATAAAGACTTTAAAAGTGTACCCTGGTGGAACGGAATGGAGACGCTATTCTAAATCTAGTAAGGAGTGGGTGTAGGTACAGCCCATAAAGCCACACCCCTTTTTTTGTTTTAGAGGTGGCTGAAAGCTTGACCGACCTAGAACCGTAACCTAAGCCTCCCACGTTAAGTGCGCTAAGCTCAAATCACACCGCTAATAAGGGCGTGAATCCAATCGAGCTCTGGAGTATCGTCTCCCTTATGTCACATTCACGATCCGAAGTGTTGACGTCAAGTTGAGCAGAGTCTGATATGGTGGACCCACATGGACCCATGGATGATGATGGAGCGCGTGTGCCAAGACCTCGATCTTGTTAAATTGGTAGATCTTGGGATTTATCTTTAGGATTTTACATTAATAAATTAATAGAATTGGAAGCTGTAGCTTTAGCGTAGAAAAAAAAACATACTAGCCTTATGGATACGATGAAGTGGATGACGTGGATCTGGAGCTGCTGGGTACGTACTCGTACGTACCCATGGAGTACCCATATGGAGGTTAATATGACCTTACATATATGATACAACTTGGGTGCCCAAATCAAATAGATTAACCACTTGAAATTTGTTCTAGGCTATGAAAAAAAAAAAAAAAAAAAAAAATAGGAATAAGAGACTACGGAGTAGCGAAGGAGCAGATGTCCGTGTTCGTAGCCGAAGACCTGTGCCACGACAGAATGACGTCAAGTGTCGATCACCAAGCTGTGGGCAAGAAGTAGAGCTCTGTCTTTAGGTAACACACTCTAGTTTGCCCTCCTTAGGGGATCATTGCTTGGTTCGTCCCTCTCTGCTGCCATCATAATGGCGCTATCCATGGATGTCCCTTGATCTTTTATATTCCGTCATTCCCTCTTGAATTTTCTTCTACCATATTTTCCTTCATTCCTGTGATACCCCTTGTTGTGTGTGCCTATACAGGTTCGATAAATAGTTAATTCTCAGTGAGTCTGACCCTTGTTTGCCATTAATGCAAACAGTCCTAGACAGTCTCTAACCCTGTCCTTAGTTCATACATAATTACCTCTTCACCTATCTCATTCCCTCATCATTGGTCTTTGAATACATACTTCATCATGTCTGTAAACGTACCCACCAATTCAAAGCAGAAGGAGAAGGTATGTGTGACAGGGCGACCCCAATTGCAACCACGGCCACTGACAGGGAATCCCATTCTAGGATATCAACCAGAAGCTCCAATTCTTCGGTATCTACCATGGTAAGTTAAGATTCAGGTCACCCCAATTGATCATTGCCATACTAATTGCCTCCCGTCATAGCCTTCAAGAATAGCAAGCTCCCCTCGGTCCGTCTCAAATCATCTTCTATCGTCACTAGCCTCGCCACAAATGCTAACTAGGTCTCTTTCTCCCACAGAACAAGCAATGCGACATCGCGTTGAACTCCGCCTTGAACTCCAAGGCCCTCACATCTCCGCCTACGGAACTCTCATCCGACGGAAAGACCCTTGTGGCAGATCTGCGCAATGTCATTGACGCAGCTAAGAAGATGCTTTTGGTCAAGAATGAGGGTGAACTCCTGCAAGACTTTGTCTGGCAAGCCCAGAAGATTTCGGCTGGCAATGTCGATGTCAAGTCACCGGGACTCCCCTTCGACAAGGAGACCGGTCAGCAAGATGCTAGCAAGGCTGTTGATGGCCTGAAGACCCTAGGCACACTCCTGATCACCAACGGAGAGTTTAGAAAACTACGTAAGTAAATTTCCGTTCGCTGATCACGAACATTCCCTAACAATGCGCAGTCAACGATGCCATGACCCTTGGCAAGGACATTGCTGCCGATGCTTCTCAAAAGGCCGCCAACCAGGTCCGCCCCTCGGAAGAGGACCTTTCGCAGATCGACCAAGCTGCAGAGGACAACGTGTGGCACGAGAAGCCCAATGTCTCCAAGGATGACCTGAAGTCCAAATTCAAGAAGAACAAGGCTGTATGTACACCTGATGCGCCCTCAATTTGCACATACTGACATTATCTGCAGGAGAAGGGAAGCTCTGCCTCCGCCTCCGCTGCGGTTGCCGAGGAAGAGACTGGCGTGTCACCGCAGAACAAGAGGAAGGAATATTCCGACAAGACCAAGAACTACTTGTCCCAGAAGATTCCCAAGGAGCGTCGCGAGCAGACCGTCTGGCGCCTCAAGAAGATGATCATTGAGATCCAGGGTCATGCTGACTGTAAGTGAGCCAGAATTTATACGTCGACGGCGAAGATCACTAACAAATTATGCAGACCAACAAGCCGTTGAGACCTTGTTGACAATGGCCGAGCAATACGCCGGACACACCAAGAACGTCTCCAAGCAAGGCGGTAGCTCTGCGCGTGACGTCCTGAAGACCGACAATGTTCAGGCTGTTCAGTACAACTTGCGCACTCTTATCGAACGCTTTGCCAACTACACCTCTCTGGACAGCTTCTTTGAGTCGCTAAATACCATTTACAGAGATGCTGAAAAAGATCCCGAGCTCCGAAACTGGTTCACGAACGTCGACAACTTGATTCGGTATGTGAATTGGAACCCTCCCCCCGGAATAAAGACTAACCAGATATAGCAAATCTTTGCGCGAGCAGGGCTTCATCATGGAGGACGAATGCAACCGCCAGTGGAACGAGATTTACGATAAGGGCCGTTACCTCCTGCGCGAGCGTTACCGCGGTCACTCTGACCGTATCGTCGACGAGGTTAAGTTCTTGGCCGACCAATTCGAGAAGGACCCGCAAAACCAGGCCCTTGCTGAGTCGTTCCAAAAGCTGTTCAAGGATCTCGGCCACGATGCCAGTGGCAAGGCCACCTTCAAACCGGATCTCCTTCGGGATCTTCGCGATGTCATCATCCCCGGCATTTTCGAGAATGTCCGCTACATTCCAATTCCCCGTATCGAGGTCTCGGATCCCATGGTTGATGTTGTGGTGGAGAACCTGTGCATTGAGGGTGACAACCTGATGCCCAACGTTGTGGAGTTCGGCAGCGACAACTACTTCCGCTGGGGCCGCAAGAAGATCACCAACAAGCGTGATAATAAAATCATGATTTCCATGTCTGGAATCCAGATGGATCTGCGCGATGTCGCCTACTATATCAAGAAGAAAGAGGGCTTCCCCGCCATCACTGATCGTGGTGTTATGGATCTCTTCCTCGGTGGTGAGGGTTTCAGCGTCAAGATCGCTGCTTCTACCGCCCAGAAGAATGACAAGGAGCACTTCTTCAAGCTGGACAAGGTTAACGTGAACATCAAGCACATGGATATCAAGCTGAGGAAGTCCAGCCACAAGCTGCTCTTCAACACCTTCAAGCCCATACTGTTCCGCGTGGTCAGACCTGCTCTGCAGAAGGTGGTCGAGGGCCAGATCCGCGAGGCCTTCAGAAAGGGCGACCTCTTCGCCAAGGAAATCCACACCGAGGCCACTCGTGCCCAGGAAGCCGCCCGCGAAGATCCTGCCAACGCGCCCTCAATCTTCTCTCGCTACGCCGATGCCATCCGAGCTCGCACCCAAGCCAAGGCCAAGCAGGCCGAGGGCGCTGCTAAGCGTGACACCAAGGTCCAGACCGTTATGACCCTCCATGATTCCATCTTCCCAGATGTCGAGCTCCCCGGTGCCGTATCCACCAAGGCTACTGAATTCGCCGACTTGGCTGCCAAGGGCGAGCGCTGGGAGTCCCCCATCTTCAGCGTCGGCAGTGCATCCGAGTCCACCGGTATCCCATCCGGCGGTCCTATCACAAACAAGCGCATTACCAGCACCCAAGGTGCAAGCGCTGCCGGAGTTGCTTCCGCCGCCGGTGTCTCTGGCGCCACCACAGCCGCCGCTTCTAACACCGCCAACGGCACTAACGGCAACAACGTCTCGGGATACCAGTCCCGTGGCTTCTCCGATGAGGTTGACGAAGCTTTCGTTAATGGCAAACCCCAGAACTTGGGCGAGGGCATTAAGCATGCTGCCAACAACACTAATGGTATTAACGGCGTCACTGCCGGCACTACTGGCACCACCGTCACCAACGGAACTGCCATCAACAATATCGGAACCACCGTCTAAACTGACTGTGGCCAAAATCGTCACGACATTGGTGCAACGTCATTTTCTTATGTCTCTTGATCTTTTTGTTTCTTTGCTATGATTTCCCCTTGTGCACTACGGATGTCTTACTTTCATTGTACTAGTATTTGTTAACGGTAGCCTAATACACCATGCCACCATTGTCTGCGTTGATCATTCCGAGTAAATTTTGAGCCTTGGCCAAATATAAGAAACCTATAGTATTCCAGACTCATGGGAGATAAATAAGCTTAAAAGTCATTCATTGTCGTCTATAAAAAAA